TCGGGTGTCCGGCAAGCTGCGTTGAGCTCCCCTGTGCCCTCCCTGGAGCAGGTACAAGATGCTCATCCACATCCGCACACACACCAACGAGAAGCCGCACCGCTGCCCCACCTGCAGCAAGAGCTTCTCTCGCCTGGAGAATCTGAAGATCCACAACCGCTCGCACACAGGTGAGCAGCTGGGTGGCGGAGAGGTGAGGGACGCGTCCCTTCTCGAGTGCCACTTCTGGGGGGCACCCCTCAGTATCCACTCCTGGAACATGGACACATCTCCCTGCGTGGCATCAGCACCGCTGTCGTGTGATCGACCGACGGATGCCGCCTGTAAGGCGCGTGCTCGCGCCTCGCTCTGCTCGGCACACGGTGGGGCCAGCTCTGGTGACAGAGGCACACACCTAATTTTAAATTTCCTAATCGCAAAAAAAAAAAAAAAAAAAAAAATCCAAATTGCTGCATTAAAGAAAGGACAAAGGAATAGGTGAAATGAATTGTAATACACATTTTCTTGAATCCGATATATTAAAAAGCGATCAGTGAGATGCTGGAATTAATCTTGTGCAAAGTCTGGAATCACAGTCTGGGGAGTATGTTTCCCCTCACTCGCAGCACATGTCAGTGTGGGCCAGCCACACTTCAAAGGTGCACCAAGAGTGGCTACCAGACATTTAGTCAGTCTGGAGGCATTTTGCTGCACCAGGACCAAATACAGCGGAGCGGGCATTCCTGCAGTGCTTACTGTGGGCCCCCTCCCAGCAGGGGCTTCCCGGAAGTATGTAAGCAGATTTGTGGTCCTGCCTGTTGAAGTGGTCGCTGTCATCCCCAATCTGGAGCACAGGACTGAGGCCAGAGGCACACAGTCAGGCCAGAGTAGAGCAGGGGGTGACCGGGTGGGCTTCTCAGTGGCTGTGCCCCGCTGTCCCCACCTGGGATCAGATCTCGTGCCGGGTGCTGGGAACACCATCCCCCACATCGGACAGTCCGTGATCGCAGGGGGGATCTTGGTCCAGGGTGAGGGGCCTGGGGTGGCCTGGGGTGGGGCTGGGGCTAGGAGCCCGGGCTGCGGAGAGGCCCCTCATGCCCCGCTCCACCCCGCAGGTGAGAAGCCCTATGTCTGCCCCTACGAGGGCTGCAGCAAGCGCTACTCCAACTCGAGCGACCGCTTCAAGCACACACGCACACACTATGTAGACAAGCCCTACTACTGCAAGATGCCCGGCTGCCACAAGCGCTACACAGACCCCAGCTCGCTGCGCAAGCACATCAAGGCCCATGGCCACTTCGTGTCTCACGAGCAGCAAGAGCTCCTGCAACTGCGCCCACCCCCCAAACCACCGTTGCCCACCCCTGACGGCGGCCCCTATGTCAGCGGAGCCCAGATCATCATCCCCAACCCTGCTGCCCTTTTTGGAGGCCCCGGCCTGCCTGGCCTGCCCCTGCCCCTGGCCCCTGGCCCCCTTGACCTCAGTGCCCTGGCCTGCGGCAATGGCGGGGGCGGTGGGGGAGCAGGGGGCATGGGCCCCGGGCTGCCGGGCCCCGTCTTGCCCCTCAATCTGGCCAAGAACCCGCTGCTGCCCTCACCCTTTGGGGCTGGTGGACTGGGCCTGCCTGTGGTCTCCCTCCTCGCTGGCTCCGCTGGCGGCAAGGCCGAGGGGGAGAAGGGGCGTGGGGCAGTGCCAGCCAGGTCTCTGGGCATGGAGGGCCGCAAGACGCCCCTGGAGAGGACTGAGAGCAGCCGCTCCCGGCCAAGCCCTGACGGACTCCCCCTGCTGCCAGGCACCGTGCTGGACCTGTCCACGGGTGTCAACTCAGCAGCCAGCAGCCCAGAGGCACTTGCTCCTGGTTGGGTGGTCATCCCGCCGGGCTCCGTGCTGCTCAAGCCAGCCGTGGTGAACTGAACCCGCCTGCAGGATGGCTACCCGCAGCCCAGCTAGCAGCTCCCGGCCCTGCCCCGACGAACGGAAACTCTTCTGCGAAATAGCAATAATGTCCTCCTGCCTCCGGGGCCCGCCCTGTGTCCCCCAGGCGGACCCAGCCCCAGACAAGCTGGGCAGCAAGGATGGTGCTAGAAGGTCATTGGTGGTGTCCCAGGCTCTGGAGGGGAGCTGGTCCTGCCAGCCAGGGAGAGCCGTGCTCCTGGGTGCTGAGGCCTCACTCACCTCTGGCCCTCCCCCTGCCCTGTCCTCCACCTAGCCCTCAGTAGCCCCCCCACCCGCCCTGTGACTCCCTCAACCAGTTGCCAGCCTGGGTAGGGCGCCCTCCCTCCCTGCCTTGCCCACCTGCCAGCCATGTCCCCGTCCTGCCTAGCCTCTCTGGGCCCCTGCTCTGGGGGCTTCTTGGACCCCTTTCCCTCTGGCCCACCCTCCAGAGGGAGAGCAAGACAGACGCAGGCAAAGCCACAGGAAGAAGCCACCTTATCCCTATGACAAGGCGCCTCCAAACTCAGAGAGGGAGGCCCGCTCTGCCAGCTGCCCCCCCCCCCCCACTAGCCCGTCCAAAAACAGCCAGCACTACCTGAGGGTTGGCCCCTCTCTGGGCCGGATGCTCTCCCAAGTGAGGGGACTGTGACCGCTCACCTGCCCCTTCGCTGCTGGGCCTTCTCCCTCTATTTTCAGGGAGCCCCGGGAGTGTGGGCAGTGGAGCCCTGAGCGAGGAGGGGAGATGCCAGGACCCTGGGCCCTCACTTGGCTCAGGGAACAGGTGGGGCAGGGCCTGGCCTGGGGCGGTGCCACTCTGCACAAGGGACTACGGTGGCTTGCAGGGTGTCAGGAGGTGGGAGGCTGGCTGGGGACAACCCCAGGCTGGGACACAGCTCCCATTCTGGGGGTGCCAAGTCACAGCCAGCACACAGGGGAGTGAGGGCTCCAGGCCAGGGCTGGGCATGGGAGCTTTCCAGAGGCCATGGACTGAAAGCCCTGGGCTTGGGGGGTGAAGCAAACAAGGATGGCCGTGGGAGGGCCCAAGCCCTCTGCCTGGGAAGGGGAAGCTGGAGGAAGGAGCCTGGGTTTACGACATGGCTGTTTGCTTTGGCTTTCCCCTGTTGAGCCTGTCCTAGAGGTGTCCCCAACCCCTGCCCACCACCTCCCCCATGGCACGGGCCAGAATAAGCTAAGGATGCCAGTGTCCACGTGCCCCACCACCCACTGCCCAGTTCCACCAGGCTCTGGGGCCGCAGCATTATGCCTCCCCTCACCCTGAGCCCTCGCTGTTCCCTCCCTGGAGGTGGCCTGGTGCCATCTGGGAGGCGCTGGCCCCCGCAGTCAGGACTCCTGGCGCCTTGGCCACACGACCAAGCACTCCATTTCCCCTGCTGTAAGACAGGGAGCTGCAGGCCAGCAGTGGGGTCGTCAGCAGCCCTGCGGCCTTCACCGTTGCCTGGACTGCCCCTCTCTCCTAGAGGGGTCACCCTGCCCGGGCCTGCCCCGACAGAGCCTGGCGGTGCTGGCTCTGCCCCTTGAAGGGGCTGTGAGCAGGGCAGGAGGGAGCTGGTCTCCTTTCTTCGGGCCCCACCCAGGACCCAGGCCTTAAGTCCCCAGTTGGGGGTGAGGGCTCTGAGACTCAAGCCCAGGGAGCAGAGGAACAGGGCACTGGAAGGCGACATTAGCTCAGCATGTGACTCGGTGATAGACCAAGCTCGGAAGGGCTGGTATAAGTGTTGTTGTTGTGGGTTTGTTGTTGCACATTCCAGGATATCAGTATTTTAACAGGTTCTAAGTGCCTTTCTATCGTAGCTTATGTTTTTCCTCCTCTTGGCTCCATTGCTGTTAGCATAGAGTTTAAAAAAGAAAAAAAAGAGATAAGCTAATGACTATAACAATATATTCCTCCATGTGAGAGGAAGTTTATAAAGAAACAATAAAAGTCAGTTGCAAAGATGGTTTCTGTCTTGGCTGTGCCGTGAGCGGAGCCACGCTGCTCGAGAACCCCAACCGTCCTGTGCCTGGTATGGGTCGCCCACCCCCAGAATGCGGCACTCAGAGGCCCTGTTCCAGGGCTTCCTTCCAACCCGGGGGCTGCCACAACTGCCAGGTCTGCTGCTAGGAGGGGGCGGGTGCCGAGGGGGCGGAGATGGAAGATTCTGGACGAAGCATCATGGGTTCAGGTCCTCACCCTACTACCTGCTGTGACTTTGGTGAGTGCCTTTGCTCTGGGGGAGACACAACTCCCTGGCCTCAGTCCAATGAGAGTCTGGCGAAGGCTTCTCTTTCCTGGCCGCACTGGAGCATTCCACCCAGATTCCAGAGATACTAGAGCGAAACCCAGCTCGGGGAAAGGCGGCCTGTGGCAGAGCTGGGGGCGCAGGGCTCTGTATCCGGTGGGAAGGGTAAGGGAGACCTGAGGACGGTGAGGCTGCAGGAGGGGCCTGGTGTGGGGGCCGTGAGGGCAGGAGTGGCTGCAGCCGGTCCGGGGCAGCTCAGCGGGCAGGGATGGACTGGCTGGCTCCTGGCCAACCTCACCCACCCCAGCCCTGCAGGGTGTCAAGGGCGTGTTAACAGGGATGCAGTGCCGCTGCCTCCCCCTCCCCGCTGGCAGGAAGAGCGGCCCACCTGCTGGAATCTGGATGTGTGCACTGAGAAATGCGGAGAAGACATTTATTACCAAACTATAAATTAGAGGAGGTGGGCAGGGTGCAGTAGGACGAGCTGAGTGGTCACGTTTTGGGCATCTGTTCCTTCTCTCTGTTCTCCTGGGCCTGGATCCTGAGCTCCTCCTGCAGGCGCTCCCAGGCTCGGACCACCTGGGGAGGGAGTTAGAACCAGGCAGGGCAGTGAGTGGGATGGGCCTCTGCCCTTCCCAGACTCCGAAGAGCAGTGGGCAGGTCTGAGCTAACAGCCTGGGAAACACAAGTGCCCCCTTTACCAGTGCCCAGCATTCCCAGGGGGACAAGGCCCAGGCACACACCACTGTCCACCAGCTAGTGGTCCTGTTCCCTCAAAGCCATGGCTGCGGGGAGGGCCACTGTCCAGGGTGACATGGGGCCCAGGCCAATTCAGCCCAACCAGCCAGGCCCTGTGGAGCTGAAGGAATGGCAGTTTAGGGGGGCCTCCCTGAGGCTGGGGCACCAAGGAAGGGCCCGGCACACCTTCCTGCCTGCCAAGTTCTGAACTGCCTAGGAATGAAGGATCCCCAGTGAGAAGAGGCGCCTTGGCTTGCCCCCCTCCCAGCATCAAAGAGCACTCACCTTGGACTGCAGGTAGAAGGAGCCACCCACGGATTTATCGTTCACCTTGAATAGGTGTTCATAGTTCTGCAGGGGAGGGGAGACGGTGAGAGGGTGTGCGGTCTCGGGGTTACAGAGGCAGGGGAAGCTAGGAAATGACAAAGAAGGAAAGCCAACGGGTTCAACCCTGATGCAACCCCGGAAGCCACTGTCACTGCTCGAGGACAGAGAAGTGGACAGGTGCCCACGGGGGGAAGGGGCTCTGTCTCTGCCACCGCTGGCCTCAGGCCTAGAAACAAAGGAGTGACAAGCAGCTCCCACAACTTGGGAGTCCAAGCTGGGTGCAGCCACAGCCTCCCCACCTGCCTCTTTCCGCCAGGCCACCCTCACTCCTCCTGATCCTGGTGGCCTGACCCCTCAGCCTGCCATTCTGGTCTGCCCAGGCAAGACCGGTCTTAGAGCCAGCCTGGTAGTCTCACCTTCTGGATCTCCTCGGGGCTCAGCTTGGAGACATTGAGAATCTGCTGGGCCTCCTGGAGGCTGAGGCCAGACAGGTTGGAGGCAGCTGCAGACTGGTGTCCAGCACGTCCTCGAGCATCAGCTGCTGCCCGGCTGGCTGTGTGGATACCGGGGTGAGTGCTCAGCCCTCAGCGGCCCAAAGGTTCCCCTGGGCCTTCCACGTGGGCAGCTCAGCCCACCAGGTGGCATGGGAGAAGACACGCGCAGGGACCAGGGGCATCCCTTCTCCAGGAGTGGGTTTTTTTGGGGGACTGGATGGGGAACATATGAAGTAAGGACTGACCCCACTGGAGGACAGGGGCAGGTTCTGGTCCCCAAGACCATGAGATGTCCCTCTTCTCTCCCCTACCCCCTCATCCCAAGTGACAGCAAGTTGGGGAGCTTGAGGCTACAATGGGAAGTAGGATGAAGCTATAGGTAGGAAGAGGCAGTAACAGCTCAGTTGAGACCTGGCTGCCCACCAGCTACCTAGGCCACAAAGCAGGTGGTTCAGGTGACCTCTTCCCTTTCAATGGCCCTAGAATCAGGAGCCATTAAGCTTTTTCTTTTTTTAAAGATTTTATTCATTTATTTAATTGACAGCGAGAGAGGGAACACAAGCAGGGTGAGGGGCAGAGGGAGAAGCAGGCTTCCTGCAGAGCAGGGAGCCCAATGCGGGGCTCGATCCCAGGA